AAGCTACTTGATCGAATCTTCATCGTCGCAGTGGTCGAAAAATGGCTCGTGAGCTGAACATATCGCAATATTCCATTGAGCCAAAATGAGTTATTGAAATTCCAAAAAGTGCAAGAACTTACACCGCAACAGAAAGAAAATAGACTCAAAAGAGCTAAAGAGTTGCTTCGCTTGGCCGAAAGTGGTGAACTGCCGAATTTGGTTTTCTCCGATGAGAAAACATTCGTTGTCCAGCAGAGCAGTTTGTAAACAAAGAAAATGTTCGTGTGTACTTGCCAAAGAGGTCAGCTGAAAATGTGCACCTTGTGTTGGCCACTAGAACTCAAGCGCCGGCCATGGTGATGGTGTGGGCCGCCATAACAGCTGATGGTCGCTCTCCACTCGTATTAATCGACCGTGGAATCAGAATAAATGCCGAATATTATCGCGAAAATATATTCTGGATGGTGTATTAAAGCCTTGAGCACGCAAACATTTCGGCCACAGACGTTGAAGATTTCAACAGGACTCCATCGCATCATCGCACTCAGAACGCTCCACCCAAGAATGCTTACAAAATGACATTCCTCGCTTTATTTCCAGCACACAATGGCCACCAAAATCTCCGGATACCAATCCGTTGGACCATTGTATCTGGAGTATTTTAGAAAGAAAGGTTTGCACTAAAAAATACCAAAGGGTCAAGCAAGCGCTTCGCCGGGAATGGGCCAAAATACCACAGAGCAACATTCGGGCAGCGTGTGTCGGTTTTATTGGCCGTTTGAAGTCCCTAATTCGTTCCAAAGGTGACCAATTCGAACAAATCTAAACTTATTCTAAAAATTGATGCTATTTCCGACATGTTTAGCTTTCATTCAATTAAATTTAGGAAAAAATGTAAGTATTATGGCATTTGAATTTGTTGGAGTTTTTTTTTATCTCACCCTGTATATGGGAGCTATATCGAAATCTTAGCCGATCTCTATAAAATTTGACAGAGGTATTTTTGAGCTCTATGAGATATCTGGTACCAAATATCATTATTGTCAAAGGCATATTACGAATGTGAGGGACTTTAAACCCCAAGTCGGGTGAAACATATGCATGGGAGCTATAGCTACATCTCAACGGATTTTCTCCAAATTTGATGTACTTGCTTCTAGACTGAATTCGGTCGGATGTGCCAAAATTCTGATAATTTGGACGAATATTGGCTATTTGGTGCATAATTAACCCGAAATCAGTTGAAGATGTGGAAGCAATATCAAAATTTGAACTGATTCTCACCAATTTCAATATGGTTCGTCCTTGGGCCAAACATATATTGTTTGCAAAATTTCAATATTTTGTTCACAAAAATGCTTGGATAGACGAACGAACGGACTGCATGCATAAATCGATTCAGCAAGTGATTTTATGAAGATCCTCAAAAGTAATTATGAGTCTATCTCGCTTCCTTCGCCACATTACAAACAAATGCTTAAAGACGAAGTACGCTTACCACTATGTGGTGTAGGGTGCAAATAGAAAATATTATTTTCGAAACTCCATAAAATATGCTTTGCATTTCGATACCGCAATCATTACTCTCTTTGCCAATTATTTTGCCCCAGACATTTCAGAAGGTTGACACACAATTGCTTTGTGTGGTTCAGTTCGATTGGGTTGGTTGTGTGTCGGGCCTTGTATTTTTGTTTTATGTTCCGACCATCATTTGTCAACGTCATCCAACTGCGGGCTATAGAATTCTGACTGAGTCATACATTAACTTTATGTGGTATAATGTGCGCTTATCACTCAACTACACAAAGAACGTGGAGGAGAGAACAGAAACGAAAACAAAAAAAATAATAAAAACAACAACATTTCATTATGTTTTGTTGATTAATAATGATATTGTGTTACGTGAGCCAATATGGGGATATAGCTCAGTGGTAGAGCATTCGACTGCAGATCGAGAGGTCCCCGGTTCAAACCCGGGTGTCCCCTTAAGAACTTTTTTAATGAATAACTTTAATGTTTTTTTTTAATGTAATGAGGAATTTTGAAAAATATCCGTGACATACAAACGCAAACTGGATAAGTAAATGTTAATAAACAAAGAAATAAATCAAAGATTTTATTACTGAATGAAAAAAAATCGTTCAATTATCCACGATTTTTGGACAACGATTTTAGAAAAATTCACGACATTTGGACAACATTTAAAAAAAAATTACGATTGATGGACCAATTTAAAAAAAATCACGAAATTCAACTTTATTATCCATGGATAAAAATTCTTAAAAAATCCATGTTTATTATCCATGGATAAGAATTCTTAAAAAAATCCACATTTATTATCCATGGATAAAAATATCCACGTTTATTATCCATGGATAAAAATTCTTAAAAAATCCATGTTTATTATCCATGGATAAAAATTCTTAAAAAATCCACGTTTTTTATCCATGGATAAAAATATCCACGTTTATTATCCATGGATAAAAATTCTTAAAAAATCCATGTTTATTATCCATGGATAAAAATTCTTTAAAAATATTCAGGCTTATTATCCATGCATAAAAATATCCACGTTTATTAGCCATGGATAAATATTCATTAAAAAAATCCAACTTTATTATCCTTGGAAAAAATTCTTAAAAAAAAACCCCGATTATTATCCATGGATAAAATTTTGTTAAAAAATCCACACTTATATCCATGGATAATTTTTTTTTTAAAAACCCACGATTATTATCCATGGATAACAATTCTTTAAAAAATCCTCCTTTATTATCCTTGGATAAAAAATCTTAAAAAAATCTTCAATTATTATCTATTGATAAAAATTCTAAAAAAAAATCCGCCTTTACTATCCATGATTAATATTCATTAGAAAGTCCACTTTTATTATCCTTGGATAAAAATTCATTTAAAAATCCAACTTTATTATCCTTGGATAAAAATTATTTTAAAAAAATCTAAGTTTTTTATCCAAGGATAAAAATTCATTTAAAAAATCCAACTTTATTATCCTTGGATAAAAATTATTTTAAAAAAATCTAAGTTTTTTATCCATGGATAAAAATTTTTAAAAAAATCCACGTTTATTATCCACGGATAAAATTTCTTTAAAAAATCCACGATTATTATTCATGGATAAAAAATTCTAAATAAATTCCGCGATTATTACTCTGATGAACACGGCTATAGGACCATAAATAGGTCTTGCATGGCTGGAAGACTTTTAACAGCTATTCTATGGCTAGAAAACTTAGAACAGACTTCACGTGCCAAATGATCTTTAACTAGGTTCCAATGGCTAGCAGACCATTAACAGGTCTTCTATGGCAAGAACATCGTCAAGAGGTCTCCTATAACTATAAGACCTGTTAAAGGCAAGAGCCACTATAACAGGTATTATATGGCTAGAAGACCTTTAATAGGTCACCTATGGCTAAACGACCTTCCATAGCCAGAAGACCTCTAACAGATCTTCCATTACTAGAAGACCATTAACAGGGATTATGCGGGTAAAAACCTTTAATAGGTCTCCTATGGCCGTTAACAAATCTTCCATGGCTAGAAGACCTTTAACAAATCTCCTATGGCTAGAAGACGGTTTACAGGACTTCTATGGCTTTAATACCGTTAACTGGTTTTCTACGGCTAGAAAATATTTAACCGGCCTTATATGACCAGAAGACTTATAAGAGGTCTTCTATGGCTAAAAGATCTTTAACAGGTCTTACATGACCAGAACACTTTTACCGTAAATAGGTTTTGTATGGCTAGAAGACTTTTAACAGTTATTCTGTGACTAGAAGACCTATAACAGATCTTCAAGAGCTAGATGATCTTTAACTGGTTTCCTATGATTAGAAGACCGTTAACAGACCTCTTCTCTTCAATAGATCTTTAAAAACTAGAAAACCTTCAACAAATCTTCTAAGGCTTGATGACCTCTTTCGGATCTGAAGACCTTTAATAGATCTTAACTGATTTTCTCCTGCCAGAAGATCTTTAACAGGTCTTCTATAGCTAGAAGATCGTTAACAGTTATTCTATGGCTAGAAGACCGTCAAATGGTTTTTTTTTTATGGCTAGAAGTCCTTTAACAGATCTTCTAGGGCTAGAAGACCTTTAACAAATATTCTAAAGCTAAAAGATCTCTAATAGATCTTCTAGGGCTAAAAGACATTTCGAAGGTATTCATTAGTTACAAGACCTTTAGCAGGTTTCGTGGCCAGAACACCTTTAACAGGTCTTCTATGACTAAGAGACCTTTAACAGGTCTCCAATAACTAGAAGACCCTGAACAGGTTTTCTATGGCCAGAAGATCGTTAAGTGGTGTCCTATGGCTGGAAGACCTTTAACAGGTTTTCTTTATTTGATGGAGGGCCTTTAACAGGTCTATGGCTACAAGACTTTTAACAGGCCGTCTGTTGCTGAAAGACTAATTACAGGTCGTGTATTGCTGGAAGACTACTTACAGGTTTTCTATGGCAAGAATACCTTCAATAGGTCTCCTATGGCAGGAGATCTTTAACAGGTATCCTATGGCTGGAAAGTCTTTAACAGGTCTTCTCTGGTCTTATCTTTTGATATGCTCTCAATAACATTATCACCCTCTCGCAGTCTCTCTCCCCACCTAACACTGGCCAACACCTTGTAACAGTGGAAGGTGTATTCTGGTACGGTACACAATTGGCGATGCCTGAATGCCGCTGAGGTGATGTCCAATTTCTCCTTCAGCTAATCCATAGAGGTACTGTCGCTTGCTGTCATTTCATCCAGTATTGCATTTTGATTCTGGGCATTGAGAATGGGTCGGATGGTACCGGTTTTTGGTTTGTGTGTTTACCGAGGTGGCTGGGAAATATGTTGTGGGCATTTGGTCAACGGTTGGTTCCTTGGGTTGTTCGGTTGTCATTCGGTAGTTGTCAATGATAACATTTCTCTAAAAAAAATCTTGTCTATTGCTTAGGGGTAAAAAATCAAAAATCCAAAATGAAACAAAATTTTTAATTTATTTTTTTTTAATTTTTATTAATTTTTTCAATCTTAAAAATAAATATAATTAAATTTATTTCATTATTATTAAATGAGATTTTGATCGTACTATTTCTGTTATGACATTATTGTTTCAAATCAAATACTTAAATTAGGACTTATAAAAAATAACAAATTCATACACATCTAAGTAGTTGATAGGTACGTGACTATGTAAGGGGGAAGGGTATAGTTATATTGATAAAGATATTAATTAAAAAACTATGTTTTTAAGTATATAATTCGAATTTGTTGTTGCTATCGTTGTTCTTGTTTAATGCTGTTTGTTTCGTGTGTGTTTGTTGGTATATCGTTGCGTTATGGGGGCCTCCAGGGGCTTCCAATGATGTCGACTTGACAGGCCAAATTTCGATCGATTCAAAATGGATGGGAATTTAAATTTTTTCAGGATATCGTCAACAATTTGCTTTTCTTTTAATTTTTCTGATCTTTTTATTATTAAAAATTGAAATGTTATGCTTTTTTTTAACAGGATCTGAAGGATATGAAGTGACATACAATCTTAACTATTTGATTGTCCATCTTTCCTATTCTAAATAATATTTCTTTGTAAAAAAATCCACAGAAATTTCCCTAGGCAATTACTTCAATATTTGTCATATTTTTCAGAAAAATATTTAATATTCACATTTTTTTAAAATATTGAAAAAAAAAATGAATCCTTTAAACAAGGCATTACTAATAAATTTTTTATTAACACGAATAGGCTTTCAAAATTGTCCACCCGAAAATAAGGCCTGTTCAAATCTTTTGTTTTTTTTTCTTGGCATATCACCGGAAGCTACGAAGTGTTGTTGCTATTTTCTTTTTTCTTTCTGGATAACAAAAGAGCATAACAATAACTAAAATAATAATGTAATATAACTTATAACGAACAAAGTAAAATACTTTCAAAATTTTAAATGGGATTTCAATTCCCTTCCCTTTGCTATTCACAATACTACACCCAAATTAGGGGTGGATGGGGGATAGGGGGAAAAGAATAATTTTACTGGTCCATTTATTGCCGTTGTAGCAGCACAGCTACCAAGGCAAGCACTAACGCCGATATGGAAACGCTCAAAGCTGTACTGCCATTGCAACGGGAATTGGAGCAGGGATAGCATTTGCTGAGGTTTTGCATTGGATGATCGTCTTTGTATTTGCCGCAAACCGATTCCATGGTCTTGACACGAGAGCAGCCACGATTTGTAACCATGGTACCATTAACTGAAAATAGATGGAGAACAGAAAAATAATTAAATTAACAATCGAAAACAAATATTCTAAAAATAAAATCACTTTCAGAATTGAACGTCTTGACAGAGATCCTCTATGACTATCAGACCTTTGACAGATCTTCCGTGGCTTAATGATCTTTAACAGAGCCTCTACGACTAAACGACATTTAATAGTTATGCCATGGCCAAAAGACCCATAAGAGGTCTTCTATGGCCAATAGATCATTTGCAGGTCCACTAAGGGCAAAGGTCATTAAGCAGTCCTTATATAGCCAGAAGAACTTTAACCGACATTCTATGGCTAGGTGATCTTTTAAAGGTCTTATATAACTATAAGACCATTAACAGATCTTCTAGGGCTAAAGGACCTTCAACTGAATCTCCAACAGATCTTCTAGGGCTAGAAGGCTATTAACAGGTCTTATAGCGCTAGAAGATCTTTAACAGGTCATTCATAACTAAGAGACCTGTTAAAGGTCTTCCATAGCTTTAATAGATTTTCTAGGGCTAAAAACCCTCTAACAGATCTTCGAGGGCCGGAAAACCTTTAACAGATCTTCCAGGGCTAGAAGACCTGCAACAGATCTCCTGTAGATAAAAGACCTTTAACTGATCTCTTGTCTTCCGGTCTTCCATGGCTAGAAGATCTTTAACAGGTAGGGCTAGAAAAACTTCAACAGATCTTCTAACAGATCCTCTAACAGATTTTCTAGGGCTAGAAGACCATTACCAGTTATTCTAGGCCTGGAAGACCTCTAACAGATCTGCCGTGGATAAAAGACCTCTAACAGATCTTCTATGGCTAGAAAATTTCCATAGATCTTCTAAGGCTAGAAAGCCTTTAACAGGGTCTATGGCAAGAAGACCTTCAACAGATCTTCAATGGCCAGAAGACCTTCAGCAAATCTTCTAAGGCTAGAAGACCTTCAACAGATCTCCTGTAGATAAAATACCTTTAACTGATCTCTTGTCTTCCATGGCTAGAAGATCTTTAACAGGTAGGGCTAGAAAAACTTCAACAGATCTTCTAACAGATCCTCTAACAGATTTTCTAGGGCTAGAAGACCATTACCAGTTATTCTAGGGATGGAAGACCTCTAACAGATCTGCCGTGGATAAAAGACCTCTAACAGATCTTCAATGGCTAGAAAATTTCCATAGATCTTCTAAGGCTAGAAAGCCTTTAACAGGGTCTATGGCAGAAGATCTTCAGCAAATCTAGACCTAGAAGACCTTTAACAGATTTTCTATGGCTAGAAGACCTGCTAAAGGTATGGACCGTTAACAGATCTTCCATGGCTTGAAGACCTTCAACAGATCTTCCATGGCTAGAAGACCTTCAACAGATCTTCCATGGCTAGAAGACCTGTAACAGATCCTCTTAGGCTAGAAGACCTGTAACAGATCTTACATGGGTAGAAGACCATTAGCAGTTATTCTAGGGCTGGAAGACCTCTAACAGATCTGCCGTGGATAAAATACCTCTAACAGATCTTCTATGGCTAGAAAGCCTTTAACAGGGTCTATGGCAAGAAGACCTTCAACAGATCTTCCATGGCTAGAAGACCTGTAACAGATCCTCTCAGGTTAGAAGACCTGTAACAGATCTTACATGGGTAGAAGACCTTTAGCAGGCTTTGTATGGCTTAAGGATTTTTAATACGTTTTTTTATGGCCAGATGATCCTCAGTAGATCTTCTATGGCTAGAAGGCCTTTTGCAGAACTTCCAATGCTTAAAGACCTTTAACAGATCTTCTGTATATATGAGACCAAATGACCTTCAACAGATCTATGGCTAGAAGAATTGTATTTAGGGCTAAAAGACCTTCATCAGATTTTCTATGGATAGAAGACCTTTAACTGATCTATGGCCTGAAGACTTTTAACAGATCTTCTAGAGCTAGAAGAACTTCAACAGATCTTCTAGGACTAAAATACCTTTAACAGATCTTCTGTGGATAGAAGAACACAAATCTTCTTCTACTACCTCTAATGGGTCTTCTATGGCTAAAAGACCTTTAGCAGGCTTTTTATGGCTGAAAGACCTTCAGCAGATATTCTAAGACTAGAAGAGAACTAGAAGGCTTAAAGGTCTTTAACAGGTCTTTTTTGGTTATATGACCTTTGACATATCTTCCATGGCCTTTGACATACTTCTATGGAGATCTCTAACAGATCTTCTAAGGCCAGAAAACCTTTAGCAGGTCTTCCCTGGCTAAAAAACTTTAAACTTTTGATATTCTCTCAATAATATCATCTCTCCCTCCCTCTCTTCCTCTCTTTCTCTCTCTCTCTCTCTGGCTTAACTTACCACTGGCCAAAACCTTGTAACAATGGAAGGTGTACTCTGGTGCGGCACGCAATTGGCGATGTCTGAATGCCGACGAGGTGATGTATGTCTTATTGGCCAATTTCTCCTGCAGCGAATCGGTGGCGGCGCTGTCGCTTGGTAACATCTCATCTAGTGTAACATTTTGATTCTGGGCATCGAGAATGGGTCGGACGGTGCCGGTATTGGGTGGTGTTGGCACCGAGGTGGCTGGGAAATATGTTGTGGGTGTGGGTGGTTGGGCCTCGGTAGGCTCCTTGGGTTGTTCGGTTGTTGTAGGGATTTCAGTTGTTGTTGTTGTGGAGCTGGAAGTAGAGCTTGTTGTTGTTATTGTGGTTGGTGTTGTTGATTCTGTTGTAGACTCCGTGGTAGATTCCTCAGTTGTTGTGGACGATTCTGTTGTCAGTTCTGTAGTGGTAGTTGTGGGCGGTTCTGTGGTTGTTGTTGTCGAACTGGTAGTTGTTGTAGACATAGTTGTAGATGTAACTTCTTCGGTGGTTGAAATTGTGGTTTCTTCCGTTGTAATACCCTCAGTGGTCATCGTGGATGTGCTGTCCGTCATGGTACTGCTGTCAGTGGTAATTGTTATGGGCGGTGTCTGATCCGTACTGCCATTGGTTGTCGGCTCTGTGGTACTGGTATCTGGTGGTGCCGGTGTAAAGTACTCCTCGTCACAATTTACCACCGGTATTTCCACCATTGTGGGATCCGGACAATTTTCACATACATAGCACTCCAGTTGGGCATGGGTGGCTGGAAGAAAGAGAGGGGGAGAGAGAAAAGGGAATTGATTAATATTTTGGTTATTTTGGGGCAAACAAATAATCTAGCGGTAATTAAAGTAAAAATTCAGCAGTTTTTGAAAATAGAGCTAAAACTGGAAGCCACTTGTATTGGCGTACTAAAAGTTTTCCACCAAAAAGTAACCTATATAGAGTGGGCAGGTTCCCCCCTCCTACACATTTTTTTGAAATTTTCAAATTAAGATTCTTTGGAATCCTTAAATTTTAGGTATATAGTGTCTTTGGAAATATTACAGATAACAATGCGAGGATTATTTTGGTAAAATATTTTAACCCTCAAGCGAGTCACCAAAGGGGTCTTTTTGGTCCCTTTTTCAAAAATAGGTTATAAACTCCCTATAAATGGGATCGTAGCAGGTCAAAATATTCTACAAAATTATTTGCCATAAAATTCTACTATAGGTCGCTGAATACAACATAACTCTAAAACTTATCTAAACGCCAGGAATTTATAAATACAAAAAATTCATTTTAGGGTTAAAGCCTTACCTCATGTGAATTTATGCCAAATTCTAGTACAAAACGTTATTTTAGAAGGATGATGTCAAAGAAAAAAATATTCTCCATAAAATTTCACTATAAGTCACTAAAGTAAAAAAATCTGAAATTCCAGTTTATATTCGGAAAATATCAATGTTCCAAAAAAAAAACTAAAATATTATTTTTAAATTTATTTTTTTTTTTGATCGGCCTTTTTTGATTTGAGGCCTGAAAGTGACATAAAATTTCGGATAAAGTAAAAGCTGCTAAAGGAACAAATATTCTACACAAAATTTCACTATAAATCTCAGAACAAACTATATCTCTAGGTCTAATAGATTTTAAGAAAACTGCATTGGAAATATGTATTCAGTACAGGTGAAAATAACGCGATTACGAGTTTCATCCACTAGTTTTATGTGAGTTCGTGTAAAATTCTACCACAAAGCATCATTTTAGAGCAATGATGTCAAAGACAAATATATTCTTCACCCAATTCCACTATAAGTCACCAAAGAATCGAAATCTCCATTTCCACTACATATTATGAAAATATTTGCAGCAATTTTGCATAACACACGAAAATATTTTTCGTTTTTTATCAGCTTTTCCTAAGCATTTTTCAAATCAATGTATGAAAGTAAGGTAAAATTTCATTTTAGGCAAAAAATGTTAGAAGAAGAAATATTCTATATAAAATTTCCTTATAAGTCTCAAAATATACTATGTATCTAGATTCAATAATTTTAAAGAAAATTGCATTTGAAATCTATGTATTACTAGCGAAAATGTGGTGTTTTCGTTGATATTGCTAATTCAACAAATTTCAATTCCAAGGCAAAATCTCCCTTAACTAGTAATTTTTTGGGAAAAATGTCAAAAGAGGAAATATTCTAGATCAAATTTTAATGCGAGTCTCTGAGGAGGAGAAATGTGTAAACTTAATATACAGGGTGTGAGAAAAAAAACTACAACAATGTCAAACGTCATAATTTTTACATTTTTATACCCTACAACACTATGTGTTGGGGGTATTATTTTTTTAAATTTTATTGAATGAAAGCAAAAAATGTCGGAAATAGGATCAAATTTTAGAATAAGTTTAGATTTGATCGAATTGGTCACCTTTGGCACGAATTATGAACTTCAAATGGCCAATGAATGTTGAAACGAATGTTGCTCTGCGGTATTTTGGCCCATTCCCGGCGAAGCGCTTGTTTGAGGTGATCGACACTTTGGTATTTTTTTTGTGCCAACCTTGCTTTCCAAAATACTCCAGTCACAATGGTCCAACGGATTGGTATCCGGAGATTTTGGTGGTCATTGTTGGCTGGAAATGAAACGAGGAACCTCATTTTTTAACCATTCTTGGGTGGAACGTGCTGAACGCGATAGTGCTGAGTCCTGTTGGAATGTCCAAGGTCTGCGGCCACAATGTTTGCGAGCCCAAGACTTTAATACACCTTTCAGAATCATATAGCTGATCTTCGAATTGGTACCTGCGGAATAGACCTAGAACTCCCTGGAGGGCTACCACTCTCTAAGAGTACTCTGGGTAATTCCAAAGGGGCGCTGGCCGACGCATCGTATCGCGACTCTTGTGCAATGGTTCATCATGGTTGAAGCCGTCATGGCGATAAAACCCCTCGACTTCACCCTCCAGAATATTTTCGCGATTATATTCGGCATTTATTCTGATGCCGCGGTCGATTAATACGGGCGGAGAGTGACCATCGGCATATGGCGGCCCACACCATCACCATAGCCGACGCTTGAGTTCTGGTGGTCAACAGAAGGTGCACATTTTAAGCTGGCAAGTTAACACGATCATTTTGTTCCTTTATAAATTGCTCTGCTGGACAACGAATGTTTCTTCATCGGAGAAATTCGGCAGTTCACCACTTCCGGCCAAGCGAAGCAAATCTTTAGCTCTTTGGGTCTATTTTTTTCTGTTGCGGTGTAAGTTCTTGCACTTTTTTGAATTTCAATGGCTTTACCCCGAGCTCCTTTTTTAATCTTTGCCGAATGGAATATTGCGATATGTTCAACTCACGAGCCATTTTTCGGCCACTGCGATGCGGCTTTCGATCAAGTCGCATCCTTACTTTTCGAACAATTATTGCTGATGTTGGTGTTTTCTTCCGTCCACATCCTTGATGTAGGGCTACGCTACGGTACGAGACACAAAAGATTTATTCACATTTAAATGCCGGAGTGCTCTAACGATAGCCACTTGTGGTTTTCCAGCCAAATATAAAGAAATCCCCATATCACGCTTGAATGCGATCAAGAATAACACGAATAACTGGAAAATTCTCACGTAAATGCTTGTGAACGCTTGTAAACAATATAATGAGCTGTCACTGGAATAAATTTAACAGCTGTCGTACGAGTGGTTTAGAAATGACAGCAGTCTAAATTTGGTTGCAGTTTTTTCATCTCACCCTTTATGGTCAGCTCCGTTTAACGTTTGTCCTTCCCATTATTATTTTGTTGTTGCAAAATGGTCAGGCTTAACCCCTTTAATGTTGTTTTTATAAAAACAACGTTTGTTTATTGGTGGAGAACGATGGTAATGTTTACCTCGCGGTAAGACAGGTAATACCTAGGTTTCGGAAAGAGTCACCAATCCTCATCAGTTCCCTTGTTTTTTGTCTGGGATATTCTCCCCAGAAGTTATTTTAAAAATAACTTCTATTACAAAAAACATTTTTCACCAAAGTGACGAGATCGTAAGCTCAATAGAATAGGAACCAAAAAATTAAATAAAACTAAAATTCTTTTGGATGTAATTGTTTTGATGTAAATTTTTATAAGTGCCGTTGTAAGATTTAAAAGATTTTCCAAAATAATTTTAGTTTTATTTAATTTTATTATTTATTATTTTCTATTCAAAGCTGAAGGAGAAAAGTCAAATATTTTTTAAACTGCAAGTTAACCGATAAGGATATTTTAATCACTTGTATAAATATGATCCATTTTCCATCTCATACACCTTTACTATGGGTACATATGGACCCATATACCCCACTTGCTATTTTATACTTCGTAAAAGGCATTGAATGTATTTTATTACCCCAAAATCCGATTTATTTCCCTTTAATTACACAAAGACTGAAAATTCACCCCGTTACTCAAAATTCAAAGCATACTTTTAGGCGCTCCACTTAGCCACTGTGCCATTATCTTGACACCCAATCGATTTAATGGAATCACGTGAATTAAACGTCAATATCTAAACTTCCAATATCTTAAATAAATACATAACATACATATGTATGTAGATACGTGTTTAATTTTTATTATTTTATTAATTTGTTTGGTTTTTTTCCTTCGTTTTTCGTTTTGCAAATCATCTTCGCCAGAATTTTTTGTTATGCCAACTCATTTGAATTTTATTAACGTTTGTTTTATAATTATTTACTGTCAAAGGGTAAATTATTTATTGTCTTCATAAAAATGTAAATTTTTGGCTTGGGGATGTTATGGGCAGTACGTAAGTTGGCGGGAAAACCCAATATGAATGCGGGTTGTGCAACGTGATAATCTTTTATATCACAAATATAAAATTGAAATGAATGGGAGGAATGGGGATTAAGATTTTAATTTTTTTACTCTTTTCCTTAGAGAAATAATTGCCTTGTTCCAGAACCTGCATGAATCTACTTGTTTTGGAATTTTTTCGATATCACATAGGAAAAATCGGTTATCGTAGCGGAAAAAAATTAACATTCTTGCATTTCTGCAACATAGCAAACATCTCAAGACTATGGAGACTCCTTACACTGGGAGAAATAACTGAAGAGATGTAACCCTACTATGGTTTATAAGAAAATCAGAACTATATCTAGAGGAGTTAATTATATGGTCAATTCTGACTGGATATATTATTTTTTAAGAAGGGAGTCAATATTGCCTTCTTTCGTACCTGACATAAGTCTGATATTAGTGTTACAATGTGGGAGGTCTCAATCAACCTCCTCCTTTAAAGAGTTGTCGTTCGACGCAGTCAGTAGGAGAGCCTAAAATGGGTAGATAGATTCCAAATATCTCGATTTAGTCCAAAGTGGTGTTTTCTTTCAATGAGGCAATTTTTGGCCGAATTTTGGAGAATGGCTACAAAATAAGGTTCCTCGCTTCATTTCCAGCGCAGAATGACCACAAAAATCTCCGGATACCAATCCGTTGGACTATTGTGTCTGGAGTATTTTGGAAAGCAAGGTTGGCATTAACAAAATACCAAAGTATCGATCACCTCAAGCAAGCGCTTCGCCGGGAATGGGACAAAATACCGCAGAGAAACATTCGGGCAGCGTGTGACGGTTTCATTGGTCGTTTGAAGGTCATATTTCCTGCCAAAGGTGATCAGTTCGAAAAAATCTAAACTAATTCTAAAATTTGATGCTATTTCCGACATTTTTTGCATTCATTTAAAAAAAATTTAAAAAAATGTAAAAATTACGGCTTCTG